CGGGCGTGGAAGAACGAATCCATCAAAGTCTTCATCGTTCCTATGCAGGCTGTGGCTGGGGTTGATTGCGACCTACGGGGGATTTCGCATTACACAGGCGGACGTCTCACGCTTTATATCGCTTCGGATGCGAAGGGATCTGGCTCAAAGCAGCTGAATGTGAGTAGTAATAGTGTAATCATTGCTGAGACGTTGCTACACGCTTGTTCAGAAACCATGTTTGGCATGCCGCGCTACCAGGCTGAGATTACTGAATCAATGCTTGCTTGCCGAGAAAGCGACTGTGGTTTCTATGCCATATCAGAATGCAGCAAGCGGTCGATGCCGGAGCTTATCGTGGGACCGAAAGCCTCGAGCTTTGAGACTGCGCTTCGCAAAGAACTATTGCGGAATCTGTGCCTTGGATTCGACTGCGAAAGTCAATGGGATGATCTTCCTCTCGAGATTCGTCGCCTTTTCCTCCGACGATGTGTTGGCGTCCGCGCACCCTATTCGAACACAGAAATGGCATGGATAAACGCGAACGTTCCGGTGGAAAGCTCGTGTACCATTCTCTCGTGCATTGCGCGATATGACCTTGGCGCGTACTTAGCGGTTGTCAAGTACAGCTTCTTCAAAAACCGAGGTGATCAGGCTCTCACCGAGAAAGAGTATCGTCAAATGACCGCGGACATACAGGAGGCGTATCATCCTGTCCTGAATCACTCGGCTGTTTCGGTTCTCAGCATCTTTACCGAATACGTCCGTCTGCCGATTGCCTATGTCTACCACTCTGCTGGGACTTGGGTCAAGTTCTTCTTCCTCGCATGTATGGCCGACCCTGAATACCAGCGCGAGCTGAACGGAGCCTTGATACACACACCACGTCCACTAGCCACGTCTGCCACCTTCGTTCTGACAGGCTTGTGGATATACAGTCGGCTTGCAATGTCCGTTGCTCTACCGTTCTTCTTGTACCATCGCCGCAAAGACATCGCAGGCCTTGCTGGAACAGTGAAGGGTAGTTTGATCGTCCAGAAAAAGAATCGCCTGATCATTCGAAGCTATGGAGACACGGAGACAGCATTCATTCATCCTGTCAAAGTTGGCGGGGTTAAACTGATGTTCTATCAAGGTGATCTGGAAGCAGAGCCTACTTGGGGTCATCTCCGGGTCACATACTATGACGAAGAGATGCGCATCACGTTGCGTGAAGAGTACAAGAATGGCGCGGTCACCAATGAGTTTGTTTACGAGTATGCGTTGAAGCAACTTCAGCGTAAGACGAAGATCTCGAAAGTCAAGAAGAGTAGGGTGCCTCTAAGCAGAACCTGTCGCAGCGGCCAGGATGAGGGTGCCAAGGTTATCTACAACCGGAAGGGCCACATCGAGTCGGGAAGCTATATCAACCACAATAATCTGGTCCGTTTCAAGTATCATTATCGCAAGAACGCCAAATACGACGACGAACTTCTCCGCGCCGAATTTGTGCTGCCGCACATGTCAGCCAACGTCAGCTGGTGTGCACCTCCTGTTCGCCATGCCGAGAAGATGGAGCGCTGGATACCCACCCCTCGCGTTCACGAAGCGACATTTGTCCAAGGAGCCGATGTATATGAATGCTCATGGCTGTATGACCACAAGTTCCATCCAACCATTACTACGAAGCTTAACGGCGCCCCAGTCGAGACCCCGGATATGATTCGTCATGATTGGCTCGGCGTACTAAAGAAGCCAACTCGATGTACTTTCGCGGACGAGAATCCCTTGTTAGCCTTCAAGTCCCCGTCTTCCAGTTTCTTCAGTCGGATGCTGCGCACAAACATCAAACAACAAGAGATTTCCACTTCCAGAGCTCGATCCCAACTCTGGAAAGCTTGGAAGAAGCGAAACGATCTAGATGGTGTTGTCATCCGATGGGTAGATGAAGAGTTGATTCGCAGAGAAGCTCTCCTCCGCCCATATTGGAGACGGAGAGATCGCGGCAGCCTCGTAAAGGCTGAAGATTATCTGGCGCTGCATGCCGACGCCATCATGGCCAGCTCAGACCTCACAAGCGATATCAGCGCATGGACGCCACTTGCAATTCGAATGAGTGATTTGTTCAGTTTTGGTCAGGGTGGGGATGCCGTTATCTTCACAAGAACGAAAGCACTACAACGCGATACCGACCACAACCTTCATGTCATCGCTGTTGACACTGGTACATGGCCGAATGAAGGTGGTGGAGTCTCGGCATGTCGTCGAGATCTCATCAACAACTTGCGCACCATCAAATGGCACATGGTCGTCGAATCGGCTAACGACTTTGGCTTGCCGAAGCACCAAACCGAAGAGAACGTTGAGTCACTCAAGGTGATACCACTGTGGGGACTGGACTTCATGCATCCAAACCATGGGATGTTCACCAACAAGCTGGACAGCGAGGTCGACCATCTGGTGAAGGCCGCAACAATATCCGACATCGAGACGAACTTCATACCAACCTTGACTGCCCTCGTTCGCGGCGCTCGAGCTACCACAATGACGTCAGCAGATGTCAAGCAGGCGACGCGTGCTTTGGTCAATCTGAACACATACTTCCAGGATTCGCGTCACTGGAAAGAGGTCTGGACAAGCGATGTGGTCAAAGATACATGGAGGAGACTGTGGCTCGATGAAGACATGCCGAACGCGCAACCGCCCTCAGAATGGTTCCGTACTGAGCTTCCAACGCTCAATCACTTCGATACGGCGCTAGAGCTGTGGTTCCGATGCAAGTAATCTCCTTTTTTTTTGATCGCGACGAAGCTAACTCGAGTAGATCTATTCATTTTCTCGATCCCCATCCCCGAAAAGATACCCCACGTCTTCCAAGCCTCGCACCACAGCGTGTCAGCGTCCTACGGGATCGTTTGCAAGCTGAAGCGCAACTGCACCCTTCAAATCTGGGATCATGCGATCTCCTGGCGTGAGACCAATCTCTACCTCTCGTCCGCGATGTGCACTTTACCACCCTTCATCAGGAACTCGCTACTTGGTCTGATGAAGTTGACATCTTGTCTCATCTTGCACCATGCCGATCAGATTCTTCCCTGCGCAGGTAGGTACATTGCATCTCATATCCGAACGAAGTGACTGACTTGGTATGCTAGACTTCTTCAACCCCGGCTGGGAGGTGGAGATCGGCAGTGCGAAGGGTCAACTCACGCACCGCAACGTGTTTCGTCGGAAGGTCGATCCTATCGTCAACGGTATTACCGACATGACCAAGTTCTCTCCGGTGACCGAGATCAAAACGAAGACGCCGACAGTAACCATGCTGTCCCATGTCTGGTTTGCGAAAGATATCAAAACAGCCCTCCTTGCAGCAGATATCATCACGAACGAGTGGGGCTTCAAGGACTACAAGCTCGATATCTACGGAGCTCTCAACAAATCGCCCGTCTACTCCTCTGAATGTCAAGAGATCTTGGCTTGCAAAGGTCTTGGTCAAAACGTTGCGATGCGCGGCACTGCAGACCCAGCAATGGTCCTTGCGAACACTTGGCTGTTCCTCAACTCCTCAGTGTCCGAAGGACTGCCGCTTGCGCTTGGGGAAGCGGCACTTACCGGAGCGCCAGTCGTCTGTACTGACGTCGGCGCGTCGCTGCGCGTGCTCACTGACCCTGATGACGGTAAACGCTATAGCGAAGTTGTAGCACCCAATGATGCATATGGTCTGGCGCGTGCGCAGATCAACCTGCTGGCTATGCTGGATGAGTGGGCTCAATATGCCGACGATGGCCCTGGGGTAGCGGCACCAGTCTTACCTCACAAACCCACACCAAAAGACGTCGAGATCATCACGCGCCGGATGTACGAAAAGTCTGATCATCGGCGAAAGCTGGGGATGATGGCTCGCAACATTGTCCAGAAGTCCTTCGGTGGTGAACGCTACCTTCGCGAGCATGAGCAGATGCTCTGGATTGGTAAAGCCTGCTACGAGATGCTGGATCTCGAGAAGCGAACACCACCTCCACGAAACCCAGCACGAATGTTGTCGCTTCGTCGTAGCTTGCCACGACTGCATCAGCGAGACACTGCATCAAGTCCCATCTTCGATGCACAGATGGAAAAGATGATGCACCCGCGTCCGCACGCGCCGAGACGAACATCAGCGACAACATCGTTCTCGTCGGTATACATTGACGAACCATCGGGTTCCTCGTCGACATACTCGGACCCCATCTGGGAACATGAGGAGTGGGACTTACATCACGAATCGTCCGAATCGTCGGTCAAGTACGAAAATTCCGACACTGACGACTGGCCACTACCCGCGGTAACGCGCCCAGCAAGAACTCATTCAGGTGTCAGTACAACGGGAGTATCATCTGCTGCTAAAGGAAAGCGGCCCGCCCGATATTCGTATTACGGACATGAAAGCAATCGAGTCTTCAAACCTGCATCACCGAACGCGAAGATGGATCCGAAGAGAGCGGTCCTCATGCGTCAAAGTCTGGCGACGACGGAGAGTGCGCGGAGCAGTATGAGGGCGAGGAGTCATTTGAATGAAGTGGAGCTTGCAGAGTATGGGAATGTTGATGGGAGGCTATGATTTGGAGGTGATGGAAGTGTTTTGTTTTCTGCGTCTGCATTCGTATCTACGTTCGTTGGTGGTATGTCGAAGTTCATGTATAGTGAGTGGCGTCGAAGGATTTTTCATCGTTCACTAAGTACGAGAGCAAAGTGCTAGGCTGGCAACTTGCTCAAGTCTTCTGTCATTGAGCTCTTTCACTTGAACCAGCTATGTCTTGCGGCTAGACACTGGGTCCGTGCTAGCGGTGACGTACACAGTAAAGCATCGAGCAAACATTTCGTTCATAATCTGCCTGCTTGGCAAGTGCTGTCTCCTCAGGCCGATTCTTGACCGCCTGACCGCACCACAACAAAACAACGCAGTTTCTTCACCAGCGGCTCTCGATTTTACATCGTCTGCAGCCAAGTCACTCTCGTCATCTCTTTACACCCCTCACCCAAGCTGCCGGAGATCCCCAGCCATGGCCCTATCTGCGCTACCGCCGGAGATTCTTAGCAGGATATGTCGCTTCATCGTCGCGGAAGGTGGCACTATCGTTCGTTATCGTTATACGCTTCCTCAAGACCTCAAGTCGTTCCGACTTTCTTGCAAGTCTTTCTACCAGAAAACGCTATTCGACGTCGGGGTTCTCCACGGAGCAATGCTAGACCACTTCGTGGTCGGTCTTACCTACAAATCCCTCAGCGTTCTATATTCGATTAGCAACGTTCCCTATTTCCGAGACCGACTTCGCAAAATCAGATTCGATCGGAGATTCGTGGGCTGCTTCTCCGGGGAAGAGCAGACTGGCTTTGCGAGCTCTCCCGAGGCGGTTTACATGATGACAGAAATCTTCAAGAATCTGGCACATTCGACCTCATTGCTGAACATCTATCTCGATGAAGAGATGAACTATCCCACCATACTTGCCGCACTCAACCTCGCCTCATTCCCCCACCAAATCATCAACGTAATGGTGAATCCCAGGGACTTCCGCCCATTCTCGCACGAACGTTTCCTGAACCCTTTAACCGAGTCCCCGCATCTCATCTCGCATCTCGAGTTCCAGGCTACTCCACATGAAGATCCCGAAGATGTAGAGCCAGGGGAGAGAGAACGTGACGTCGCGCGCAACGAATTCGGCCGCCACTACTCCGGCTACAAGCCTATCACCCCTCCACTATCACAACTAGCCGCGACACTCTCGGGAGTGGAAAGACTTACCTTCAACGGATGCGGCAACATGCCACGTCTACGACTGTGTCACGGATGCGAGAATATATGGGCCGGTATCTTCGCGAAGAACACTTATGCGCATCTTGCCCATTTGGAGCTCCGTGACGGTTACGTGAGTGGGAGTCGTCTGCGGGGCTTCATCAAGCAACACGCGGGAACACTAGAGCATGTCAAGTTTGAGTACATGTTCCTGACCGACGGTACTTGGCGCTCAATTGCTCAGGGCCTGCAGAAATGTTCAACTCTCAAACATCTGGACGTCGGCCCAGATACTACCTCGGGTTGTTACATGGGCTCTCTTCGTCAGAAACACGCTGCGCCACCTCTCGAAGCCAGCCTACCAAAGCAATACGTCACTTCCCGTTTCAACAACTCAATGAAGATATCAGACAAACCTCCAAACATTAGAATCATACTGAATAACCAAGAGGATATCACAAACTGGCTCGATGTATTCATGAGATACTTTGCTACCGAACAGGGCGAGGAAGGCAGGTGCTATGATCGCGATGGCTTTACACTCCCGATTTATCACGAGGCACGTACTTTCTTTCTACCTCACCACATGAAGGGTAAACCCGATACTCGGTCACGGGCAAAGATAGCTTTGGACAAGTATCTCAAGGCAGACGAAGGAGCTTGAGCAGTATGCAAGTACGCGTTTGTGCGTGAGACTCTGCTGGGTACTACCAACGTAGGATGAGCCTGTTCGTACGCCACAGTATCACGGTGGAATGTTAAAGCAGAAAAAAGCAAGGCAGGACAGGGCAACAACACAATCGGGCGCTGTATAGTAATTTTGATGCAAGGCATCCTGTGAATACCTTGTTCTCGATGTATGCAGCTATATGAATCGATAAAACTGGTCTTAGTAACCTTTGCCGTGGATCTGGTGCTTCGACTAACGGCGTACTTATGTTACACCAAGAGTAGAGCAAGTGCATATCGAGCTAGATGTGGTTATCTACCGACTAAGTAGCCCGTGACCAGCGCCTTTACCCAATCCCACAGCTTCCCTGGCGCCTTACTCCCCTTCAACTTCCACAATGTACTTGTCCAGCGCCTGCAAAGCAGGGTCACGATCAATAGTCTCCGAACCGTAAGCCAGCGAGAAGATCGGAAGATCCACCTTGTGGTAATGCGGCAAGGACCACGGCAAATATCTACTACCCATATATCTTGAGGTGCAAAAGTTCTCGATAAAGAAAGCCAGATAGTGGCGAACTTTGTCTACACCCGCATCGTCATCTTCGGGGTCCTCGCATTGATACACAGGTATCTGTTGGCCTTGCAGTCTTGGGACAGCACCTTTCTGCAAAAGATCATGGTCGAGAACAAGCCCACGCAAGAAAGGTAGCTTCTCTAGCCCTCTTGCGATTGTCTTCCATGAACCATCGGTCAAGACGTTGTTTGAGAATTCCAAGTGAGTGAGTGTGTGGCCTTGCTCTCGGAGCCACCTTCGAAGGCGGCCACCGCTGACGTACATGCAGAACAGATGGAAGACCGTTAGATGACTGAAGGCGACCTGGAAGATGTGGGTAAAGGTGTCGTCGCACGCATTACAAAAGCGCAAGTAAGGCTCGCATATGCAGCCTGAGATGTGCAGATGCTCGATATCGCGCAGACCGAACCAAAAGGACGCGACAGCTGGCTGGCGAAGGCGGTACTTTTGAATGTGGATGCCTACTTCGTTCTTGTATTCGCCCAGCTCCTGGATGAGTTCCTCGTCGTAATCTAGTACTCCTGGAACACCCCCGTCTGTTGAGATACACCTGATATAGGGAACGTAAATCGCAGGCGATCGTCCAAAATCTCCATGACCCGGCGGGGATATAAGGTCATGCGGGGATGCGTACACAATATCAAGCTTGACTGGGAACTGGGCCTCCACTACAGCCGCCAAAGAAACATGGATTGACGCAGACCTGGAATGTTGCACTTGTACAAGCCGTTTCGCCTTGGCCAACCACCGAAAGCACTCTGTTAGAAGGAGAACGGCTTCGCTTGAATCGGTGAACATGTCTCTCTCTTCGTCGCCTGGGTGGAGTGGCGATGATGGCTTTAGGATGTGGTCGAAATCATGGCTTGCGTATGGATCCAATTCCAGTGCCACGATTCGATCACGGAACTCCTCGATTTTAACAATTTGCAAGACTCGACAGAGGGATGGATAGGTGAACTTGATTTTTAGCACGCGAAGCATAGGTCCGTAGCGGATAATCGCATCGTAGGTTGTCCGCTTGTACAGTTCCCTGCACGTGAGGCGTAGGGAGTGGAAGTCCTTGTTTTCGTACTTTCGCGTCTGGTGATCGAGACCGATAAATCGACACACTCTACTGAGCAATTCCTTCGGGAGGTCTAATAAAGACATGGCGCGATAGAATCTGCTGAAGCTGAAGGGAAGGAGAAGGAATTGCTGTGAGGAGACGAATGCGAAGCTGACTGTATACCACTTCGATGTTTGTGCTAGCATGCACGGGATCGCGACAGCCGCAGCAGGTAGTACACGCGCGACATCCACGCGGTCTGCTACCTACAAACCCACCTCTTCACCCCCTTAGAGTTTTGCACAGTACGTCTGCACCGGCACAATCCCCCCACTCCGATCCGGCGGATCCCTCATCGCAACCTCTCTCGTCCTCGCCAAACTCTCCAACTCATCCAACCGATTCAGCGTCGCCTTCAAATGCTCCTCGAAGCCGGGTTGTTGTACAACCTCCCTAAACGCATTCTGCATCGGTACAGAATCCGCTCTTACCATACCATGCGCATCGATATGAATAACGTTGATGTGATCAAACGGGTGCACAAAGTCGGCGCGCGTGATGATCTGACGGGCCTCGTGTAGCGGAATCTGAGGCAGGGAGAATTGGTCTGGATCAGACGTTTCTTGCTCGCGGAGGACCAGCGCGCGTGCTAGGACGATGGCGGCGGCGCAGTATTTCTGCTGTTCTTCCACGTCGTCGTCCATGGAGTCGCCGAGGATCCAGCAGTTGTTCAGGAACCACATTTTCTCTCTTCGGTTGATTTGCTTGCAGGTTTCTAACATATCGTGGGATTTGGCGACTTGGTTTAGGAAGATTAGTCGGCCGCCGACTTTGGCGAAGACTTCGTCGAGGACGCTTTGGGGTACGTCTTCATTGTGATAGCGGGCTCGGTATTGTTTGAGTGCGGTCGTTACCACGTTCTTCCGGACGTCTCTGACGCTGATGACGTGCATATTGGTCGCGTGTGGTGTCAGGCGTTCCAGGGTCCAGAATTCATCGGAGGTAAAGACGGTTGTGACAAGCTCGTTGCCAGCCCATATCTCAGCGCGCTGCTGCAAGATCTCCAGTAGGTGCTTTCCCGCTTCGTCGTCTTTGAATAGATGGATGTTGTTGATGATCATGAGAAGAGGCTTGCCGCGACGCTTCCGCAGCGACAAGGCTACCTTCTCCATCTGATTGAGCGCTCTCTCGATGTCCAGTAGCGGCGAGCTGTCCCTGGGGCCCCGAATGCTGAACAACCCCCCAATGTAGTCTTCGTGGAATTCGTAGTCGATTGCCTTGCCGAGTCGCGTTCGAAAGACTTCCAGATCGTTATGTGCTTCCAGCATAGCAATGCCGTCGCCGTTGACCTTTCGCATAGCCTCCAGAAGTAGTGCTCGCTTTCCAGTGCCTCGCTCACCGATGACGAGGTAGTATCTTCCTCTGGCCCTTCCGCTGACAACGTTGTCGATATCCTCCTGCTCCGCTCGCGGAACCCAGTATTCCCTTTCTACAATCTCTTGTATCTTGTCTGGCTCCGTGCCGTATGAGATGCGACCCAACGCAACCCGCTCCTGCGAGCTATAGCCCGTGGCAAAGGCATTCTCAATCTTCTTCGCAACCGTCCTCTTGTAGAACAAACTATAGGCATAGCCGCCAAGACCCAGGCCGAAGAGCGATATCAGAGCCACCGTGCTTCCCTCAAGCACGCTCCGAGCAAACTTGCTCCGTTCTTGCTTGTCCTCATTGTACGGGCCGCCGTTTCGCGGTTTTGCTATATGCGTATCGCTCGGGGGCTGCAAGAAGGAGGGCGTAGGTTGGAAGCGGGCGGGGTGTCTGCCGGGGGGTAGGACGAGCCATCCTGTCATTATAAGTCATGCAGCCAATGTGGTCATGTGAGATAGCTTACCTCTTCTAGCACGTTGAATAGAGCGTCTCATCCGTCCTGTAGCAAAGGGAGCTGGTGGGCGTGTCATCAGCCTTGGAAGTGTGTTGCTTAGGTACGCGTCATGTAGGTGGATGCACGAGCACGTCCTGGCCAAGCGCCTGACGCCTTGCCGTATAGCCGAACATTTTCATGAAAGGTGAGAACGAGGCATGAAGCCATGCATCTGCGGTAAAATCAGGTGCCATTGACAGTGTATAGCGAGCTCCATGGAAGGGAGTGTGTCGGAAGATGGAACGGCCTTCGGGAACGCGTCTTTCCAAGATCCAGGGTTCGCGCTAAGGACACCTGAGCACGCTCGCAACATCGGCATTGTCAGCAGTCCCGAGGTCTGATACTTAACACCATCATCGAGAAACATCGACATACGTTGCAGTACTCGTTCATAGTTGGCTATGTTGAACCTCCAATGGAACCAAGAAGGAAAAGCTAATGCCCACTAATCCAATGTGGCAGGTACTGCAATCGATACTAGCATTGCTATGCCTAGGTATGTACTGTAAGTGTTCTTTCTGGATCAAAAGGGCATACCTCGGACAGAGCGTGCTATTTGTCAATAACGTAAAGAACTACAGCAACATGTGCAGTGCCACAAGCTTCATGTAGTTATGAGGATAACATGAGCATTGATTACGTGCTTTCAAAGCCGAATGAATGCGATGCTCGGAATCACTACACAACGGCAAAGACCCACCTTCCTTGACAACTATCACTCTCCACAAACCAACGATCCCTTCTCGACAGCTCGTTAAAAACATCTCTCAATAAACACTCGGCCCTGCTATCTGTCAAACCTATCAAACCTGGCGACGCTAACCCAACACAGCCTAATCCCACCACCAGATCGCCAGGGTCCACACGTGCAAACGCAATCCATGAGGCGACTCGGAAGGCCCAGACGTCCGTTTCCCACAGCATCGGGCACCCGTCTCATGACCATCACGGTATTAGGCAGCTAAACCTTGCGACACGATATGTAGCTTCTTCTTCGCCATGGGGGGTGATTCGCCTTTTTGCTTCTTCCTATCCATACGCTTCGCGACAATATGACGAGTTCGACGAGTGACGCCAGCTCTCCTCCGACCTCACCAGTCTACCCCGCCCGATCAACACCATCGCCCACGCGACGATCACCCCGCCACCTCCTCACGAAGCTGTACACTTCACACGTACTTTCGACGTGGAATGCGCGTACGTTTGAATTCGGCGCTGTGATCTTTCTCGCGAAGATCTTCCCTGGGACGCTCTTCTTCGCATCATGCTATGCGCTTTTCCGGTCGCTTGCTGCTGCAGTGCTCGGATCATGGATTGGAGGGCTAGTTGACCGGAGAGATAGATTATGGGTTGTGCGCCAAAGTATTGTGTGGCAAAGAGTTAGTGTTGCGGGGAGCTGTGCGATTTTGGTAGCGATGCTGGGTTTGGGTGGAGAAGAGAAGGATATTGGGATAGTAACCTACGGCCTCTTCATTATCAGCGTCGTGCTGGCATGCATCGAGAAACTCGCCTTCGTCGCCAACACCGTATCTGTGGAGCGCGACTGGATCGTCGTCGTATCCGAGAGTCTAGCTCTCGACCGACAGGAGCTGAACAGCGCGATGCGCAGGATAGATCTCATCTGCAAGCTCATTGCGCCCGTCGGCATCGGACTCGTAGACGGATACTCCACCAAAACTGCCATTTGGACCGTCTTCGCACAAAACGCGATAAGCGTGTTAGTGGAATACTTCGCCATCGCGAATGTCTATGCCGCGGTACCGGAATTAAGTGTTGGAAAGGGCGTGGTGACGAAACAAGCGTCTGAAACAGACATTGCTACGGAACTGCAACAGCGAGCCTCGTCGCCTAACCAGGCTACCGTACCAAATACCACTACGCTCCGCTCCACCATCACCAAAACCATAACCGCACACCTCGCGCCGTACCGCGAATACATCACCAACCCCGCCTTCCTGGCCTCCTTCTCCCTCTCCCTCCTCTACCTCACCGTCCTCTCCTTCGCCTCGCAAATGACGACCTACCTCCTCACCCTCGGCTTCACCAGCACGCACGTCTCCGTCATGCGCCTCGTATCCGTGATCCTCGAATTATCCGCCACCATCGCAGCGCCGTGGCTCATGAACAAAATCGGCGCCGTACGAGCAGGTCTCTGGTTCATCAACGAACAACTCCTCGCCATCGCCCTGGCAATCGGCCTATTCCACGTCTTCCCCACAACCACAGCACCGATGCTAGCCGGCGGCGCCCTCGTAATCGGCGTCTGTCTCTCCCGCCTCGGTCTCTGGGGCTTCGATCTCAGCGTCCAATACCTTGTTCAAGAAGACGCGCCACCTGCCTCTCGTGGCTCCTTCTCTGCCATCGAGATGTCGTTACAGAATCTGTTCGAACTGCTTTCCTTTGCGACGACGATGATCTGGTATAAGCCGCAGGACTTCTTCATACCGATATATATCTCAGCAGGGGCAATTGCGTCGAGTGCGGCGTGTTTTGCGGGCTTTGTAAGGCAGAAGAGGGGGCATTTGTTGCATACGGATAGGTGCTTGAAGAGGATGGGCAAGGGGAAGAGGATGTATCAGGTTTTGCCTACGATTGAGGAGGAGGATATGGAGATGGAGGGTAGGTGATAGGACGAGGCACATTCACGGCGAGACCGAGATGAATGAAAATTACGAAGTACCGTTGCAAAGAAAAGCTGGAGCCGTCTGTGAATCCATTCACGCAACGTGGGATTAGTGTTCTCGTGACGCAACTTCAATATCGGTTGACGGAAAATTAATAATCTAACCTTGCAAATGTAGGTCGCGCCAAAACGGGCAGTCACAACATGTGCCGCGCTCCATCGTCACGCCCAGCCTTGGAACCTTCCGCCGGCACCTCAAGCACCCACGTGAAGGCCTTGGCTACTTTATCATGCCTGCACCTATCTTCTCTAATATAGCGGCACTCGTCTTCTCTTACTTACCGAGCAGTACCATCGCGGGAATAGCTACCTAGGTAGTTACCGCGCGCCAATCGCCTACCTAAGGCAGTATCGTCTGGCATCGAATCCTTCACGACTTCCAAGATTGTATCACACCCTAAATCTCTTGCCCCACCAACACATACTACCACTACCAGGGTCGTAAAGTGCAACTACTCTAACTGAAATCATGTACACATCAAGACGTCACAGGCCAGGAGGAGCTGGAATGGTATATGAGGCTGCTCAAGGTATTCCGTCGCTCATACACCTACCTGTTCTGGAGACCAGATAACCTAAGAGGCTCTTTACACAGTGACCCTACAAAGCTCTACTACACTATAACCCGATATCTAGCAAACTCAACAAACCGCCTCCATAATGCACCCCACCCTCTCCCTCACCTTCTCTCTAGCCCTAGCCCTATCCACAACCACCCTCGCCCTATCACCCCACCTATCACTATCTACGCGCCAACAACAACCCTTCAGAACAACACCCATAACCGACTTCTCAGAACCCTGGGCCTTCGCATTCCTCCCCGACACCCGCATCCTCGTCACCGAGCGAAAAGGCAACCTCCTCCTCGTGGACCCAGCCACAAAGTCCAAAGTCAGCATCACCGGCGTCCCCTCCGTCGCGTATGCCGGACAGGGTGGACTGCACGACATCGCTTTACACCCCAACTATTCCAACAACAGCATCGTCTACATCAGCTACGCGGAAACCGGATCTGGTGGTGCGGGCTGCGCAGTCGCGCGCACCAAGCTGAGTCTGAGTGGTAGCAGCGGCGCACTCTCTGGCCTCGAAGTCATATGGCGCCATTCCCAACGTGCCACAGGCGGCCTTCAATTCGCATGCCGTTTGAAATTCGGTCCTGAAGACAACGCATTATACATATCCTCCGGCGAGATAAACCAAATGCACCCCGCCCAATCCCTTTCCTCCAACCTAGGAAAAATAATCCGTCTCTACGACAACGGGACTGTCTACGCCGGAAATCCATTCGCTTCCCAGGGTAGTGTTCAATCCCAGATCTACACGCTCGGCCACCGTAACCCTCTAGGTATCGATTTCGATCTTCAGGGCCGGCTATGGGAGGTTGAGATGGGGCCATTTGGCGGTGACGAACTGAATTTGATAGTGCCGGGTAAGAATTACGGATGGCCGGTTGTGTGTGAGGGACGGCATTACAATGGCACGGCGATACCGAAACATAGTACGAGGCCGGAGTTTGCGGCGCCGAAGGCGAATTGGGTTCCTGTTATCTCGCCTGCTGGGCTGATTATATACAAAGGTGATTTGTTCAAGGGGTGGAAGGGGAATGCGGTTATTACGGGGTTGAGTGCGCAAGGGCTTGTGAGGGTTAGTATCACTGGCGATACGGCGGCGGAGGCACAGCGCATCAGCATGGGTAAACGCATGAGGGGGATTAGGGAGGATAAGGAGGGCGCGATTTGGGTGATTGAGGATGGGGCTGGGGGGAGGTTGTTGAAGCTTACGCCGAATTGAAGTGTGTTGGGGAGGGTTGGAAGGGGTTGGAATGTGTTGGGCGCAGGGGCTTAAGAAAAATCAAAATGAATCACGGTTATGGAGGGCATGTATCGAGCTTCAAGTCATCAGAATTCCTGTTCCCCGAATCGACGCTACCCATAAGACACCAGGACTACTCCCCGAGCTTCACCAGTGACGTGACAGCCATCACCGCTCTTCCATCTCCCTTTGCATCCATATATCGTAGATCCGAAGACCTACGCCATGAACTCACTAATCCGACACATCATCCCCTCCTCATGCACGACTCCATCTATTGGCCCCAACCACACTCCTTCTTGCAAAGCTTCCCATCGACATGGACGCCCTGGCAGATGATCTCGCACTGAGAAGTATGCTTGCAGCTCTGTTATTCACATTAGCACAGATCCCTCGACATCCCTTTCCATGTTCCCTTTCCACCGTCCACCCTCACCCAAACCCAAACCCCCAATCCGCCCCTATGTATCAAACAGAAAAATTACTAACCTTAGCGCAATCAACATAGGCCTCACTGCAGCGCTTGCAGAATGTAGTAGCCATAGTGTGGACGTCCTGATCTTCGTCGTCAGCTCTGGGGTAGAGCAGGGATAAGGGATGTGGTAGGAAGGGTGGTGGACTTGCGTTGTCGGATGATAAAGCGGCGTTAACAACAGAGGCAATACCGACGGGAGCGTCGTCGCGGGGGATGACGCTGCCGAGGGTGATGGTGGAGAGAACCGCGAGGGCGAAGATGGCGGTACCAGGGTACTTCATGTTGTGTGGGAGTTGAGTTCGTTGGTTCGGTTGTTAGAGGAGTTTGTTTCTTGGATGGATTGTGAATTGTGTAGAGGGGTTGTCGAGGGAGGAGCAGGTGAGGTTGTTGTATAAGACTTCGAAGGAAGGAGCCGAGTACGTCGGGAAAGGTCCAGGCGCGGTGGCCATAATCTCCACTGGACCCCGTTTGCAAGGTGAGTGCAGGAGCGGCAGCCTGGAATATTGCGTAAGTGATTCGGGTGACGTGGTAAAAAAGGTGTATCATATTGATTGGCGCAAGCGCGTGAGGAAGTGACGATGGAAGACGCAGTGGGAAGTAAGTGACGAGGCAATCTACCAACAATAGAACTTGGAAGACACGATTTGTACAGATGCTAGAAGAGGCATGTTGAAGCCCAATCTCAGTCTGATCTAATGAATTACAAGTAAATAACAGGAAACACTCTACAAAACACCAGTGTCTTATCCTTACCACTGCCGATACTCCAACGCCGCCCCATGCCATGCTATGCGAAAAGATTCCTCAAACCAATAAGACAACACCAACACGTCTGACTACCTCCGCGGCGTAGGACTCCTCTCCTTCACATCCAGCGCCCTCATACGCTCTACATTCGTATCCACACCCGTATCCCCGCCACCCTCAATCGAAGGAATAACGTCTTGAACCATCGTCCTATCACCCTCACCATCTTCATCATCCGCATACTCCTCCTCTCCATCATCATCATCCCCATACCTCCTCTCTGCATACTCCCCGCCGTCCAAATAATCACCGCCCTCCACACTTTCGACAATACTATCCTCCAACCCCGCCTCATCCGCATCCACATCCAGACTCTCCCTCGACATGTAGCTCGCCTCAAGATCCTCACCAATCTCCGATCCCTCATCTTCACTCCTAATACTAGCCGCCTCCGTCCTCTCATCATCATCGTCGTCGTCTTCGTCTTCACTGTCTGTAAAGTCTTGGATGTCTAATGGTTGATCGCGCCAATAATTGAAATCGGTATACGCCTCCCCACCCGCCGGAACAAGCAGCCCCACCGGCGGGAAAAAGTGATCTACAATCTCGCGCATGCTTGCGTAACCCGTTTTATAGCTGTTGAGCGACAGGACGTCGAGACTGACTTCGGCGTTGGAGTTGATGGTGAAGATGCGGGTGGAAGGGATGTTGACACTGCGGTAGGAAAGCGCGTCTGTGAAGCGGTTACCGAAACCTGCGTAAAAGGGTGTTTGGTGCGCGGGCTTGTCGAAGAGCTGCATGATATCTCTCAAACAAGCCATTTTGAAGACTTCGGGTTTGCGGAGGTAGATTTCGCGGCGGAGGGCTGCGATGGTGCGGTCTGGGCTCATGATTACGGGGCCTTTGGGGAGGCGGTAGTTGTCTTGGACTACGCCGTTGAGGTACGCGCGTGTGGTGTCTGCTTGGCCGACAGAGCGACTTGTCAAGTAGAAGATGTTGTAGCCATTGTTGACAATGTCGGTGTAGAGTTTGGCTACTCCTTGGTGTGTCCAGTCTCGGCCGATCATGTTGAGCACGTGGCCGAGGGCGTCGGACTTGGTGATTGTGCCGTCGATGTCGGAGATGACGATGGGCACGTCGTGCTTCCAGTAGAACATGTAGGCTTCGCATTTGGAGCGGTTCACGGTGAAGCTCATGGTGTTGGCACCGGGTTTTAGGTTGAGCGCTCGGAGTTGCTCGCTCGTGAGGCGTAGCGTCTTTGCGTATGTCTTGTGCTCGGATTTCCTGGCTTCGGGCGAGTGTGGCGCGGAGGAACCCAGAGCACTGTCTGAGTCTCTGCGGAGGGGGAATTGAGCAGTGTCGTCGCTACGTCCACTGTCGCTCTGGTAGCCGGGGTCTGACAGCGCATCGGTCGATTGAAGAGCTGACTCGTTCAAGACATTCATCGTTGTCTTTGCCATGGCCGCTGCCTTGGCCTCCTCACTGCTGTAGATCCAGAGGTTGCCGTTCTCGTCAGCGCCTATGAGTGCGCCAATGTCGTAGTCTCCTGCGAGCTCATCCGACAGAATGCGCCTGGCTATCACCTCAGCGCGCAACGCATCCTCTTCGCTGCTCTTGTACCCAGTCATGTCTAGTTCGAGGTCGCCCGTCTCGGTGACTTTGTTGGGGATGTTCGAGGTAAAGAGCTTCTTGGACAGCTTGATCGCGCGGGCCAGGGCTTCAGCGGAGGACACAGGCGGCGGACTCGCTGAGCGCGTCGACCTGTTCCAAGCAGTCGCATCCTCCTTGCTGATCTGTAGTGGCCCTCTCTCGGGCCCCTTGTCCTGTGATTCCTCGCCGTCGAATGTCTTGGCAAAGCCGTCCTTTACAGAAGGCACCGTCTCGTCCGTACTTGCCCTCTGCATGTGGAAGCCCGACCAGTCCCCCGACTTCGGCCGTCCAAAGTCGGCCCCGGCATAGTCCGAGGCAGGCACCGACATGGACATGCGCCCTCTCCTCCTTGTAGCGCTGCCGTCGAGGTCGAAAGGCTCGGGCTCGTCGAAGGCGCGCTCCGAGGGCAGCTCTACGGGCTTCTGCTCGGGACTGGCGGCGGGCGATGCGATGGGCGACGTCTGCATCTCGGCGGGGATGGAGCGCGTCGTCTCGAAGACGAAAAAGGCCTCGCCGCCCTCGCCCAGCTTCATCGAGTAGTCCTGCAGCTCGCCATTGACGCGGAACTCGACCTTCTTGTCCGACGGGCGCAGTATCTGGTACTTGCCGAAGCGGACGTGGAAGGGCGAGCATGCCAGGCTGCCGTCCTCGTGCTCTACGACGATGGTGTCAATGGCGCCGCTGAGGGTGGCGGGGTTGATCGAGTTCCAGCCCTTGGACACGCTGCCCGTGATGGATCGCACGTAGTTCATGGTTGCTGTCTTGGGCTCAGCGCCTCTTGCGCAGATGATCTCGTTTGTATGGTTCGTAGCGAGCGTCGGGGATGTACGTCAGAAGTGTTTTACAGAGGGCGGGCGGATGGAAATGTGTCAGAGCGTGTTTGCATTCTTTCTTCACATGTCAGAGGGCTGCTTTCACCGAGGGAGGAGCGACCGGCCGAGCGTTGAGGGTCGAAGAAGAGATGTCAGGAGTGGAAGTACTTTTGCGCTGACGTGCCTAGGCAGTCGTGAGCTATGCGGTCACCGAGCTCGCGGGCGCATCACGGGCCCGAGACGTCAGGCCGAGATCAAGTGACACCAGTGATGCGCTGAGCCGGAGTGCGCGGCAAGAATTTCCAGAATGGTATATGTTGCGAGGAATTTGGTGCATACTGCATGGGCTAAGGTGCAGAATCGAGATGCCATCTTCACATGCTGGAACGGAGCACGCGCATTGGAGAAGCGTTCGTGCTGATTATATGTTGGGCCAGCCACTGGCTCAACCACCGCGTACGATAGATACCTAGGTAGCATGTGGGCTATTTCATGACTTTGCTACCGGATGTCAATACTCAGTGGAAGGTATCGCGATGATATTCTCAACACACGCCTAATCGACTTTTCGACAGCCACCCTGCCCCGCTAGCTGCTACTAGTAACTCTCGAAGATGAATGCGGAGGAGGTGCAGGTGTGGAGCAGCCAAGACGTCGAAATGGCCTGTAGCTTCGGCCATTTGCGGCGGTTGTGGCTGCACATGACGCCGCCAGGCACCGCGCAAACTTCACCCACCACGACAACCAGGTGGGAGACGCCTGACAGCTGTCCAAATGTTCTCGGAACCCTCACAGTCGCTGTACTGGCCGCCCGATGTCGCCCGCTACGACATGGAGGCCCTGCTGTTCTCGTCGTCGGGCTGGCTGCGCACGGCGTGCATCGTCTCGGCCCTCTTCTGGTAGGAATTGTATACAAGAAGAAATACACGCGCACCTACTCACCGCGCATGCAGGGTCGCCTTCCGCGCCTACCAGGTCCTCACGCAGCCCGTCGAGAAGCTGGTGCAGGTGCTCGGCCTCGAAGTCCCCGTCGCGCCCCTCGTCTCGCTCGCTGGCATCAAGGCCGACGGCGTGCTGCTGCACTGGAAGCCGCCCGACCAGCGCGCCTCGGTCCTCAAATACGTGATCCGCATCAACGGCATCGACATTGGCGACATCTCTCCGCAAGAATCCTCCATCACCATCGAGAACCTGCAGCCCGACCGCCACTACACCATCCGCATCGTCACCCTCAACTCGTCCAGCTTCCAGGCCCCGAGCGTGCCCATCCGCCTGCGCACCCTCCCCGCGGACTCCGATGACTTCTACGGTCCTTCCCCGCCCAAAGACGCGCCCCTCGCCAGCGACGACAATGATTACACTCCCACGCCCGTCATCCGCCCCAACAAGACCCTTGCCGATGTCGTCACCTCCGTCGCTGCCCCGCCCATGACCCGCGAACACAGCAACAGCACCTCCCGCATGCGCCGCCCAGACATCGGACGGAAGATCTCGCCAGCATCGCAGATGCAGGACCAAGGGAGGGCAGCGCAAGAGGCAGAAGGCCCAGACTCGATCCGGCAGTTGACAGAGAAGTTGGACGGCCTCAGACGCGAGTTGGACGACATGGAGCGCCAGATCCAGGACGAGGACCAGGAGTTTGTCACTCAGAAGGCCATCTTGGTGGACAAGCGCGACGAGAAGAAGGCGGCATTGAAAGAAAAGGAAGACGCCAGTCGCGACCTGCGCAAGGAGGTGGCTAGTCTTGAGCGTCAAAACGCCGCGGCCCAGACCAGGCGCGCTCAGCAGGAACGGGTGCTGCGTCAAAAGGAAGCCGAGCGCAAGAAGCTGAAGGACGATGTTGCCAAGTGGACCAGAGAGGCTGGCGAACTCCGCGACACTGCTGAGAAGATCAAGAAGGAGCAGACCGAGTACCAGGCAGCCTCCGAGAAGCGCGTCCAGGACCTCAAAGACAAGTACGCCGACGAGACGCAGGCGAACAAGGTCTTGGAAGACGCCATCCGCGAGAAGGGCATCCACATCAAGGCTCTGGAAGAGGAGAGGCAGAAGCTGGAGGAAGGTCAAGAAGGCGCCGAAGCTACAGACGGCCCCGACAATGCAGAGAAGGAAGAGGACAACCGATGGAAGATGACTCTGGGTCTTTTGCAGCAGCAGTATGCTCAGGCTTGGGCGCTATACGCCGAGGCCGAGAGAGCCCATCAGGATGCCACGGGCAGATTGACCTACATGCAGCAGCGCCGCCTGAGCCAGCCGCAACTCTTCTCAGGACCGCCAGTCCCAGAAATGGGTCCCGCCAGGAGGAACAGCCAGCGTGCGCGACCGCTAAGCATGCGCGAAGGGCTTCTGGCTCAAGCAACTGGTGGCTTCGTGCATACTTCATCAGCCCCTTTCAACAGCATCCCAACGACTTCATCGCCTTCGTTCGCTACCGCCACGCCTTATTTCAACCCAGTCAACGGCATGGCATTGCCTCCTCCTCGGAATTACAGCACATCCTTCTCGCAGGCCGACTTCGAGAGCTTGACCGGCGGTGCGCCAATGAGTCCGACAGCCGGCGCATTGCTTCCAGCGGGGCTGTTTGGGGATGACCTAGGCTTGACGGAGGATGAGGATGACGACCCAGGTCCTCCCCAAGCACCGTCGCTAGATCCTTCACCTAATATGAGGAACGTCCTACCTGGTCTTGGGGCCCCTGGAACTATGAACCACACGCAAAACTCGAGCTCACCAGCTTCTCCACAGAGCGGCTCGCCCAGTGCTCTAGCAAGTCCTCGTGACAGTGCTGGCGAACTCAACTTTTATCCCAGTAATGACAACAACATGGACAACGATAGGCGGTCCATTCACTCCACCTCCAGTTCCTTCCAGATTAATCCCCAAGCCAGTCGTTTTGGTGGACTCTTTGGCCTGAACCGAGCACGGGGCAAGACGTTCTCCGATGAGGGTCCAGCGTTGGGCTCCCTGAAACCGTCACAAAGTCAGTCACTACCACGCCAGGACCATGGCATTGACGGTCTGGGTAACACTCGCCGCCGCGGTAGCCATTCTGAAGGCGCATGGTACGACACATTCATACGCACCAAGACTCAGCCGATTGAGTCGCTTAGTAGTCCAAAGCATGTGGCTACACGCAAACGACCGTTCAACATGTTCAGCAGCGCAAAGGGAGGTGAAGACCCCTGGCTACGAAACATCCTAGGCATGCAGAGGCCGGAATCTCCGCGTCAGGGCTCTACAAACTCAGGAGAAGGCATGGCTTTGCCACGTCCATCGACTGAGAGCCAGACACGCTTCGGCTGGAATGTTGATGCCTTTGGTGCTCGGGCTAGTCCTCTTGGAGTCGACTGGAGTGTCAACAACACCAACACCACTTCTTGGTCACGGCTGGGATCTCGCCGACCCTCGATGCAACACACGTCGAGCGCAAACCTGATCAACGACGACATCCACGATGATGTTCTGGACTTTCCTTCAAACACACGCTCGCCTACTCAAGCGCCGATTGGCACTCGACCGCAGTCATCTGCTTCCCACATGCCAGCCCAGCCATCAACTTCATCACTCCCACCCATCCCACCCACCCCACCGAAGCAGCTCAACCCCGCAGCAGCAAGCTTCACCATGTTCCAACTCGGCAAGAAGAACGAAGAAGAAAAAGCCAAGCGCGCCGCCGAGAAAGAAGCCCGCCGCGCCGAAAAGGCAGAGAAGAAGGAAGAAAAGGAAAAGAAGGTCAAGGCCGACAAGGCGGAAAAGGCAGCGCGCAAAGACAAGCACGCCACGCCTTCTGAGGCCGGCGACGCCAGAGACACAACTTCTCCTCATGATTCCCGCATGTCGCGAGACACTCCTTCTATTATCTCCACGGCCGACGCCTCAGAAGCTTCCCCCCGTGAATCTCTCGAACGAAGCATTTCCCACACAGCCTCCGACGCCGCGGGCTCCATCGGCAAAGAATCCTTCATGCAGAAACTCACTCGCAAGGGTAGCACCAACCAATTCCTCACTTTCGGCAAGAAGAACGCGCTCTTTTCCAAGTCCGCCAAATCCGACGTACCTAGTACACCTGACGAACATGAGGAAGAGGGCTCCACAAGTGGGTTCTTCGGCCTAGGCAAGAGTACAGAGAGTGTGGGCAATAGTCCTCAGATTGGTACGCCGAAGAGTGGGACTGCTGGCGGTGTTTGGGGGAGTATTACCAAGAAGATTGGGAGAGGGGGGAAGGATAAGACGCCGAGTTTGCATGAGAGTGTTGCTAGTGAGGCGACGGGGGATGAGGAGGATGTGGTGGGGTTGGGGGTTGTGTAGTATTGCATTCTGCATGTTGTAGTAATTAGCAAAACGTATTGTTTTCTCGTCACTTTAACTCATACTCGTGGTTCGCATGCGTGTCCATTCTATCTAATCCACCTTCACTTGTAGTTCGCTAGTGAGATTTCAGGGTGGGTGGGGGAGGCGGCGGGGAGGCGGAGGGGCGGAGGAGGGGTGGTGGTGGATGTCTCCATTATCAGATTCGGGTTGAGATATGCGTGAGTTCGCGCATATCTCATGATTTGCAGGCAGGTAGTAAAGCTAAACAATCGATGTGTACGCAGTGTAGTCTGGTAGGGTGAGTGTATGAGCGCATGTGCATGGTAAAAGCCAGACGCTTTAACAGGTTATCGAGGTATCAAGCGAAATGTCCTATGTAGACATTCCTTGCTGTATTATAGGCGAGCTCCATGTCTAAGTCACTATCTTGTATCTTAGTAATAGCAACTTCCCTCCTTCACTTTTGGTCCGCTAGTGTGACTTTCCCCAGATTCCACTTGAGCCGCATGCAGCCGCCAAGCCTTCGCGTCGTCTGTCGCAACTTCACCAACGCGCCTCGACCTCACTCACCTACCGACAGCACGCGCAACCACCACACCACCCACCATGGCGTCACCCGCCGCAGAGACAATGCAAAATGGCATCTCAACGCCGCCCGCGACCGCCAACGCACCCACACTCAGCCCACCCACGCAGTCGCAACCACAACCCTCACAACCAACAGCTCAACCATCGCAACAGTCGAACGGCGTCTCTACAACCGCACCAATGAACCCCGCCTTCCCACCAACATCCCTCTCCGACCCTGGCACTTCCAAACGCCCCCGCGACGCCCGCCTCATCCACCTCATCCTCGCCAACATGGGCGTGCACGCCTACACGGAGCGCGTCCCCCTCCAGCTCCTCGACTTCGCCTACCGCTACACCTCCTCCATCCTCTCCGACGCCATATCCTACGAACCGCCCTTACCCACCACCTCCGGCAGCAAGAAACGCGGCGCCAACGCTGATGGAACCGGTGAAGACGCCGTGAGTCTGAATGCGCTGCGTACGGCAGTGGGAGCAAGGGCCGCGGGCGCGTTTAATACGTCTCTGGGAAAGGAGTTTATGAGTGAGGTGGCTCAAGAGAGGAATCGTATTGCGTTGCCGAGGGTTGAGCGCGAGTTTGGGATTAGGTTGCCGCCGGAGAGGTATTGTTTCACGGGCGTGGGGTGGGGGGTTAAGGGGGCGTGGGAGGAGAGTGTTGAGGATGAGGGTGCGGATGAGGATATGGAGGTTGATGGGGAGGGGGTTGGGTTTGCTGGGGGGCCTGTGGGTACGGTGAATGGCACGGCGGCGGCGGCGGCGGAGACGGAGGCTAAGGATACGGATATGGGGGGTATGGAGGAGGATGAGGAGGTTGATGATGACGAGTTTGAGGAGGCTATGGGGATTAATCAGGAGAATAATGGTTGAGTTGGGAGCTTGACTTGAAAAGGCAACAGCAAGTAGCGGCACAAAGGTGTGACTGGGACGGCGTTTGGCGGGACTTGAGCATTTGTAACGGGCGTTATGGACTGGACTGCGAGGTTATACCAGAGCTGATGCAAGGAAAATAGCTTGAGCTTTTACTTTGCGCGCAAATGGGTGCGCTGAGTTTGAAATGCGGGAGAGTATTTACACGTTATAATACAATATACATCCGCTCCATCCTCCATCTCCAACAGGTCCCCTCATCTCGACCCATAAACCCCACCCCTAGTAACCCCCCTATCATCAACCCTATTCTCCTCTTTCCTCCTCAACCCCGCCTCCCCTACCTGATCCCCCTTCTCCGCCCTCTTCCCCAGCGTACGCCCCGACTCATCCAAATTCCACCATTCCTTGTGTTTTTCCCGCGCGTCTTCGAGCTTTCTTTGGTGGTCTATTCGCGCCTGTGGGGGTGTTAGCATTTTAGTGTTCCAGTCAGTGGAGAGTGCATGAACTGAGAGTCAATACAACGTACCTGCCTCCTCTCCTCCGCCAACGCAAACCACTCCAGTCTTGCCTTATCCAACTCATCCTGATTCTGATACTGCAACATACAGCTATTCATCGCCAGTCGTGGTTGGCGGCACGCGTATATCATCGTAAACGTGCGTCCGAGGGCACACTGCGCAAAGGTTTCAATCTCCTTTGCGCATTTCGCCCGCACGTTTTTGTAGTACAGGTCTTTGACTTGTTGTTCCTGGGGCGCGGATAGGGGGGTGGGGTTCGTGGGTGTGCGGTTGGTGCCGATTATCATGCGGTCTTCTGTGTTGGCCATCGTGGGCTATTGGGGGGACTATCCTGCCCAATGGCCTGGGAGGTATGTCTGTGGTGGGGTGAGGTAGTGTGGTTGCGATTGTGTGCGTGTACGAGATGTGCGCGGAGGCGTGTAGCGAGTGACGAGATCGAATTGGTGGAGGTACGCGATGTGGTGGGCGTCTTTGCGGACTCCCGGCGGTGCTGAGGTTCGAGATTGGATTGGATTGGCAAGATTGATGTTATTCGGAGTGGGGCATGTCTATGCAGTTCGGTGGTGAGGATACGGAGTGGGCATGTCGGAGGTTCTGGGCTAGGTTTGGCCGATCTGGGTGAGCCGAGGCATGTGAGTTTGAGGAATGGCGTTCGTGGTTTATACTTCACATGCGCTTTCAGTTGCGCTTCTGCTTTACATCACGTAGACACGAGCACAGCTAGAAATCACGAGTCGCAAAATTGTGTTCGTCTAGCTACCGATCCATCCGTACCCTCACCCTCTTATTCAACAACCACGATGAAGATCGCAGACCGCACCTTCCTCATCAGCGGCGGCGTCTCAGGCCTCGGTCTCGCAACCGCCCGCGCCCTCCACTCCGCCGGCGCATACGTCTCGCTGCTCGACCTCAACGCCGAAAACGGCTCCAAAATCGTGTCCGAGCTGGGATCCCGCGCAAAGTTCTTCGAAACCGATGTCACAGACACAGACGCCATCGCCTCCGCAGTCCGCGGCACGGTCGCCTGGGTGAAAGAAACAGGAAAGGACATCGGAGGCGTGGTAGCAGGAGCAGGAGTAGGAATGCCAGGCCTGATTATCGACAAGAAGAACGAGCCGCTTAGCATCGAGAGTATTGATTTCGTGCTCAATATAAATTTGAGGGGGACGTTGGATTTGGTTAGGCAGGTGGTGCCGCATATGACTACGACGACGCCCTCCAGCCCCGATGGATCTCGAGGTGTGATAATCATGATTGCGTCTTCGGCGGCGTTTGATGGACAGATGGGTCAGGTTGCGTATGCGGCGTCGAAAGGGGCGGTGGCAAGTCTTACACTGCCGCTTGCACGCGATCTGTCAAAGTATGGTATTCGTGCTGTGACGATTGCGCCGAGTATGTTCGATAGTGCGATGACGCGCATGATGAGCGATAAGGTGAAGAAGAGTTTGGAGAACAGTATGGAGTTCCCTAAGAGGGCGGGGCTGCCGGAGGAGTTTGCGAGGTTGGTGGTGGAATGTGTGGGGAATGAGATGTTGAATGGGACGGTTTTGAGGCTGGATGGCGCGATGAGGATGCCGGCGAGGCTGTAGTTGTATTTATTTGGGTTTGCAGTTTAATGTGAGCTCAGCGCTTGCGCTCCCTGATCTTGAACTTGACGCCGTTCTTGTTGACTCCTCCGACGGTGTTATTCATCTTTGCGCGCTGGAGTTCGAGCTCTTCTTCAGCGGCCATGAGTTCGCTCTCCCGCTTCTTGAGTGCGCGTAGTCTTGTTACGTGGCGCTCTTGTGCTCGCTCTCTTTCCTTGCGGAACTTCCTCGCTTCTCTCCGTGCTTGCTCTTGTGCCTCTATCTGCTTCTTCGATAATGTGTTCGGCCGCTGGACGGGTGCCTCGTCGTCGTCTTCCGAAAGCTCGTCTTGTAGGTCTCCGAAAGTGGGTGATTCTTTGCGCGCAGGAATGTCCTCGCCGCGCCCGAACCAAGTGTCTGGTTCAAACTCCTCTTGTTCCTCTTCGTTGTCCACAAAGACTCTGTGCTTGCCCTGCTTCGTCCTCGCCGCATCCCTCACAGCACGCACCTCGCCCTGCTCCTCCATTATCAGCCGCTGCTCTACCTCCTCCCTCTCTTTGCGCGTCTGCTGCAGCATAGTGCGAATGTATCCCGCGTCCTGCGTCTTCAACAGCTTGACCACCTCCATGCTCAGCGCCTTGTTGCCCCGGTCCGCCACTCGCTTCCCTGACTTGTCCACCTTGGACGACATCATCTTGAAGGAGAACTCATCGGGATTGCGGTCCTGAGCCTTCTGCTTCAGAATCTTGAGTTTGGCCTGCTTCTGCTTGTGGTCGTGCGCGCGCAGCTTGTAGTCCTTGCGCTTTTCGAGGAGGCCCCATTTTGCGCGCTCTTCGGGTTGGGCACGCTCTTTATGGTTGCGCCGTTGAACGGCATTTCGCATGGACGACATTTTGGGCGGTGGGTAGAGTGGCGCGTTGGTTGTGTAGAGGTGTTGAATTGCTCGAGACTTTTCGGTGGGCCTCCGCTGCCAAGACTTCGGCCCACTCTACCCATCTGCTAGTCCGAATAGACATCTGCGTGCTGTTTCTCTCAAACATCGACAACATTGATGATTATTGATCAAATATACCTTTCGTCGTGGCACTAATCTATCTAGAACGACGAGACTTTCATAACACGCCATTTACCAGCGTAGAAAGTATCGCGGCCCTCACATTGTCCAGGCGTCGTGATCTCCACGTGTTTACCGCATTCGATCTTGAAACACATTCTAGGAAACGTTCCGCACTTGCATTGCCTATCCAGGCTTATGCAATATGGATCTGTCCTTCCAATAGCGCCGGTTGGTGGAAGTACGGAGCGGAAAGTTTACGATATGGATTGTGCCCATGGAAGAGCACACCTGGGCATCGTCGGCCATGATGTCCATCCTCAAATGCCGTCGGATCGGGTACTTACTGCCAGCCGCCCCCTCTCAGACGTCCTAGTGCTCCTGGAAGGGTGCATCCGCTGATAGGAGCCGTCCACCGATGATCAACTGCCAATCATCGATGGGCAATTCCATCGTGGTTCCTCGCGGGAGTCGCGGAAACGGACCATAGAGGTATGCAAGACCGGAAGTGTGGATCCAGAGGTATCCATATCTAGGCCTCGGCCTTGTGCTCTTCGACAAAATCTCCAGTCCAGCGAACGAAGATACGTGAGCGGTGAGAATGCGTTGACTCCTTTACGACGTGAAGGCACGACCAGCTAACAATGCATCTTCACCGAGGCGATCTGTTCTTCAAATGGAACGGAACATTTCGCAAGAGATTGGATCGCATACCACCCACCCAAAGATCTTCTCCAGAGGTGGTATTCCACAAGAACCATAGCCCATCTACCAACTGAAACGCCAAGTCATCACCAACCCTCCGCCCAGGAATCCTTCCAAACACCGCGGAAAATTCTCTACCGACATATGGCGCTGCACTAATGTACCCCAGGTCTTCCCCAATATACCGCAACGCCAAAACACCGTCACCTGTGTCATAGATACTGTTCTCCATCACACAACTGCACATTCTCGACTCATGGCGTACGGAAAAACATGTCAACAGGAAATCCCGCGAATCACGAAAAGGTCCAGGGCGTATTTAGTTATGCAGTGTAGATCGAAATAGTGAGGTTGTGATGGTGGGCATGACCATTCTAACCACCGGTAAGGGTACAACAACCTCAGCCCCTAGCCAAGCACAACTTACCACGGCGGAAGACAATTCTCCACCATTCTCCACAAATACTACAGTGTCTTGGCTTGCCGGACGAGATCCACAATCCAGGGTCTCATCCACCCCGTAGCAATTTCACGACGTCCGTAGAGGGCTACATCGGTGTCTAGATCTGGTTGGCGATGCAGGTATCGAGGAGAGGTGGGTATTGAGGATGTGTATAAAGGCAATGGGGATTCCGAGTGGTAGACCAGCAGCTCACTCATCTCTTCTCCGAGTACTCAGCCCATCTGCAAACTTAGCAGGTCCTCCACTTCATTCTCCAACTTACGCACGAACTTGTTACCATCATGTTGTCTCAAGTCGCACTCCTCTCCCTCGTCGCCAGCATGGCAGCTGCGCAGACCCTCAACATCCCAACTCGCTCCGGCAGCATCGTCTCGCTCCCCCAGCCCAGCACCATCACCGGCAGCGTCAACTTCGGTAACAAAGAGTTCGATCGCGGTCGGCCTTGCAACTCAGATGAAGATACTGGCAGCGACAGCGCCGTCTTCATCCTCCAGAACGGCGCGTCCATCTCCAACGTCATCATTGGCGCAAATGCGCTCGAGGGCGTGCACTGCTTGGGTATGTTCTGCTTGCAAGTCTCGTAGAAGGAGAACTAACAATCATAGGCTCCTGCACCCTAACCAATGTCTGGTTCCGCGACGTCTGCGAAGACGCCATCTCCATCCTCGGTAGCGGCAACGCCCTCATCCAAGGCGGAGGTGCCGCTCAAGCCAGCGACAAAGTCATTCAGCACAAGTACGTCTCCCCTCCCCAGACAACCCCAGACAACCCCAACTAACACCCCACCCCCTCCAGCGGCGCCGGCACAGTAACCATAAAAAATTACACCATCGTCAACGCCGGAAAGCTCTACCGCTCCTGCGGCGACTGCACCGACAACAGCAAGAAGTCGCCCCGCAAGGTTATTGTCGAGAATGTCCGCGCCTTTGGCCTTACCTCTGATCTCATCGGCATCAACTCCAACTTCGGTGACACAGCCTCCATCAGCGGATCTTGCGGAACGACGAAGAAGGTGTGCCAGGAGTACAAGGGTGTTAACAAGGGGAATGGGAGTAGCAGCAAGGTTAGCTCGACGAGTGCTTGCACGGGTGCGCAGGGGAAGTTGGAGAAGCTGCCGAGCTGTTAGGTGGTGGCTGTGGATGACTGATACGTCTTATGCCCGACCGAGGAGATGGGGTGCGGGGATGTGTGGACCCGGGATTTGTATATATTCACATTCACTTTGAGATTTGTATATAGCTTTTTGTGCTGCGATGGGGGTGTGGTCAATGATATTGGTATCTGTATGCGGTTGGGTCTTCTTGAGTGACCTGGTGTATGTTGGTGGTGTTGCGAGTGAGGAGGGCATGATCACGAGCGCTTGCGCATGTTCTTCTGGATGCCATGTTAGCCGAAGAAAGAGATGCAGTCTTGTACGAGGCAATTGTGTTGTGCGCAGACTGGCATCGTAGCATCGCATGAATATCGCTATGAATTCTATTGTTTTCGGTGAATATTTGGTGGCCGCGATTCACAACACTGTTTCCTCCTGTCGATGATGTCGTCGAATGACACGCAAAAGATACTCAGCGTAGCATGTGGAGGGGTTTCGGGGTATCAAGACACCATGCTATGGTGACATATGGATGTGTACGGAGTACCGAGGGGGCATATCCAAAAAGTGTAGGGGGCAGAGGCCATGTCAAGCTGCTGTGATAAGTTGATTGAGCGATGATTCCGCGTTAAAGATCTCCAGTTCCGTCATATGGTACCGGGGTACCTAAGTAGCGATCGAGGTGTTTGAGACCACACTTTCACTGCGACCATGATGGAAGGTGGAATTGAATGGTGCCCTATTCTTATGACGATAGTCGTAACACAGAGATCGTGGATGTCGTAGTAGTAGATTATCTGCGCGCGGCGTTGTCTTCCGGTATGGTGACGTCAGCAGCTTCCTCAAGCGAGGCACAACTCCAGCTACCCCGAAGCTGCCATCCTCCTTCTTGAAATACCTCAACATCAGCTCTTGTCCCATGTTTCCGAAGGCCTGAAAGTCTCTTTACGAGCGGGTTGGAAGCTCGATCTAGTAGCGTTACCGTAAAACATGCATGCGGCGACATCCCCTCATCGTTGGCAGCCAGCTTGAAGTCTTGGTTTTTCCGACATCCGAATTCACCAAACCAAATCGCGGTAGCGGGCCATCCCCAAACCTGGAGAAATACGACGATCGCTTCCGCTAATAGGTACGGAGCCCCGCAAGATGATATCCAGGGCTTAGGTTCCTGAAAGCTCGGGTGAACACAATCCGGAGCCGCTTGGCTGGTAAACATCCATGCTTCTGCAACCGGCTATATGAGGTCTACAGCCATGTACCAGAAAATGGTCGTCACCCCAGTCCGCCTTCGCATCACATCGCAATGGGGTTCAACACGCTTTCGTGCCAGCTGTTGCTAGCTGCAGCGACTGCCTCTGCCAAATGGATCGTTCCGGGAGCGCGTTGGAGAGCTACCGATGACACTCTTGTGAATGCGCACGCTGGTGGTATTACTGTGGATCAAGAGACGGGCAAGTACTTCTGGTTCGGCGAGTACAAGATCGAGGGACAGGAAGAGGGTGGTGGTGTCAGCGTGTACAGCTCCGATGACCTTGCGACATGGGAGCCTCACGGCTTGGCCCTAGAGCCCATCGAGGGCCACCCATACATCTCACCCGAGGATATCATTCAACGGCCGAAGGTTGTATTCAGCGAAGGTACTGGTCAATATCATGTAAGCACCTCGCCCAAGTATTCATTGTAGCTTTGCTAAACATTGATAGATGTGGTGGCACGCCGACAACTCCACCTACGGAGAGCTTTTGCAAGGTCTTGCGGTCTCGGACAACATCACCGGCCCTTATAGCTTCGTCGATGCTACAGCGCCACTTGGGAACTGGTCACAAGACTTCGGTCTGTTCGTAGACCAGAAAGACGGCCGAGCGTACTCGCTATACTCCAACGGCGACCGTAGGGAAGGACGTGACGTTTACCTCACTTCCTTCAATGAGAACATCACTGCTTTAGATGAAGTCGTTCATCGTTTCGACAAGTACGACCTCGAAGCACCAACCATCGTGCAGACCGACAAGAGCTACTTCGCGTTGATGTCGCATAAGACGGGTTACCGCCCAAACAGTAAGTATCTTCACTCATCGGATGTCTACATCATGTACTGACCACCTCCAGACGTGGTTGCTTTCCGCGCCGACTCCCTTGCTGGTCCTTGGTCTCAACCATTCATCATCGCGCCGCTCAACACACGTACCTTCAACTCGCAATCTGGATTGAACCTTCGGATCAATGGTACCAAGAAGACCACCTACCTGTACATGGGTGACCAGTGGGACTCTATCAGTCTCTGGGAAAGCAGATATATCTGGCTACCGCTTGAGATTGACGAAGAAAAGAAGTCCGTTGAGCTGAAATGGTACGACGTCTACGACCTTGACGTAAAAACCGGAGAAGTCACAGCCATCAACGGCACTACCTACTACGGCAAGGACGCAACTACCACTGGCGACGCATACCACCAAGAAGCCACCTTCGGCAGCGATGGCGTCATCGTCACCGGCATCTACGGCAACGACAGCAAAGTCACCTTCTCAAACATCGAAGGCACCGGAAAGCCCCAGTGGGTCTCATTCTACTACCAGAACACCGATGACATGGGCTTCGGCGACCAGCCTGGAGGTTCGCCCGATCGTATCAATGGGACTTGGCAGCTTCGCCGCATCTCGAGCGTTATTGTGAATAACAAGACGGAAGAGGTGGAGTCGCTTTACCAGAGGGATACGCACAAGGGTATTATTCTAAGCACACCGCTTATGTTGAACTTGGAGGAGGGTAGTCATAACACTATTACTATTGGTGGGCTGGATAATGGGCAGGATGTTAAGGGCGCGGATATTGATCGTATTGTTGTGTACCCGCCTGAGGAGTAGTTTGCTAGTACTGCATCGCTTGGGCGATAGATGCATCAAAAGAACGAAAGACTATTAGTGAAATCGCGTGTATTTTGCCGTTGAGTCTAGAATTTGCGCTGCGTCAAGTATAACGCGTAAAGCTGCAAGTGGACTAGCGCCATCACATACGTTTGCTACTTTCTCTCTCACTTCCATCCTCTGCGTCTCTCGTACTTCTACCTTCCGCCTCGCCACTGCAAACTTTCGCCCACGCAGTCGTTTGGCTACACCCGCGAGCAACTCCGGATTTCGCCGCCTTTCTACACCACCGTGGGATTCTATCAGTCGCTCGCGATAGATACCCTTCAATCGATTGAGCGAGGGTTCCGCCTGCGCAGCCAGAAGTCTACATCAATCACCACACTCAAGCTTCGCGCCTCCACCTCACCGCGAGACGCCTACATCAGCGACAACACTCAAGCTTCGCACCTTTTTGGACCAACGTAGGCTTCAACCGCATTCCACTAGGCGACTCGGAATGTCTCTACTATCCCTACCCACGGAGATCATCAGCAAGACCTGTCGATACCTTGGTCTGGAGCGCGATATAGGTGGCTTCGTATACTACAATAACGACGACCTGCAGTCCCTCCGCCTCACCTGCCGAAACCTTTACGCGAAGACTACTTTCGACGCCGTGGTCAGGTACGGACTATTGCTAGAGGAGCTCGAGATATTCGTCGACTACAAGGGACTCTGCCAGCTATTGCACATAACGCAAATACCAGTTTTTCGCGACCGCATCAAGCGAGTGCTGTTCTATTATCCTAGGGTGATGAGCACGGCGGACGACTGTGAGATTCCGTGGGGATTGTCCCCGACCCGTGAAATGCGCCGCGAAGAGATTTCGACATACTTAGAAGCCCCCGAAGCGGTTGAACTGCTGGCAGCATGCTTCCGGAACTTGAAGCAAGCGACTTCTTTGGAGGAGATTCCAGTACGGGGCACGAACTTGCACCGTCTCATACATGCCGCTTCAGCGAGGAGCGGCTTTGCAAGGAAGAAGGCAGTCTTCACAGTACAGCCTGAAAACCTCAGTAACGCTGATCATCGTACTCTGATGATGAATCCTGCTGATTGCTCACCATACACCAAGGGTATCGAAATTAGCACCTCGACCTTACATTACATGTTTCTACGTCCCGAGATCAAGCAGACAATACAAGACGCCAAAAGGTGGAACGAACATGGATATCATTTGAAGGGCTATCAGCCTGATCACACAAATCTATCCCGACTTATCGCAAATCACAGTCAGATCGAGACCCTTCGTCTGGACGGATGCGAGACCCATCCTCGCTTGAGATTCTGCGACGGCTGCCATGCAGTGTTTTCTGGGCACGTTGCTACCACACATTACTCCAACATCACCAGGCTGAGTCTCCACGCAATCTACATTAGCGGCAGCCGACTTCGACGTTTCATAAAACAACACTCAGCCACGTTGACGGAATTCGACTCCACATTCGTAACGCTAACGGACGGATCATGGCGCTCGATCGCCCAAGGGCTAAACAAGCTTCCAAAGCTAGACACGCTGCATTGGGCTCTTCTTTTCCAAAAGCATGGAGTACCTTGTGTTCAGGGTGATTCCGAGACAGAACTTAGACCATTCTGTGTCCATAGTTGTACTTGGGAGGGAACCTCAAATGTCAGGTACTATCTACAGAACTTTCTGGAAAGCTTCTGCACGCGCAAGTACTTCAAAAACACTAGGGGAATTGGAAGGGTTGTCACTGCTGCGAAGACACGACCAAGTTTCCATGAGGTCATCATGTATTGGTTCGCTGACGTGGTGATGACGCCTGCTGGAATGGATTCAGCCTACGCTATTGAACGATACGCGGAAGGGATACTGGACTAGTCATCTGGTAAAGAGGAAATACCAGATGTCTTGACGAAAAGGACGGAGGAGTGATGACGCAGTAGCTATTGATTGGGGCACTATGTGCACGAACACGCCACTCTTCACGGACTTTTGGGCGAACTTACAGCATTTCCTACTCGGCGATATATCATTGCCAGATTAACCCCTCTACACCATTGATTCATTTGAAGAGTAGATCTCTGTATTAGCGCGCGAGATTATAGTGCTCAGATGTTCGTATCCACATCCAAGTGCGGTAGCGACATCACGACTACGAATTTTCAAGTTTTACTCCAACCTACCGACCTCTCCAAACTTCAACAAGCAATTTCAGGAACCATATCGTCGTCCTCGTGCGATAGCCAGCCTCGTATCGCACGGTGCGACAATCGTGGAGCCCACACAAGTCAATTCTCACCATGCGGACCCGTCCAGTACTAAATCAATACATACAGAACGGTGTCTGGTATACAGAAACCGAGAGAGTCGTTTTTTTTCATTGCGTAACGCGAGTGGTGCCAAGGAATAGTGAATGATAACCGCACATAACAGTACCTGGAGCCTAGCGCCCAACGGGTACTCATGCCTACATAAGTCTTGGAACTGTTAAACAGAGTCATAAGGCGCTCACGTCTACGCCTCAACCTACTCTGCTTGGCTTCTCGATCGACCACCCTGCACGCTCGGTAGCAGTCGCTCACGAGTCCTCGGACTATACCCACCAGATAGCACACCATGTCGTTATCATCACTACCCGCCGAGATCGTCAGCAGAATCTGCCGGCATCTTGGAATGATCCAGGATGAACGCGGTCGCTTCACTCATTACTGCAACGATGAGGAGTTCCTACCACTTCGTATAACTTGTCGAGAGTTGTATTCGAAGACCATGTACGACGCGTCGGTGAGATACGGGCTACTTCTTGAGCAGCTAGATATCGAAGTCAGCCACAACGGGCTCTGCGCCCTCCTTCACATCACCAAGATCCCCGACTTCTCCAAGCGGATTCGAACATTGATACTCAAGTCTCCATATGAGAATGAAGCTCCGCCAGACTACTTGAAGGCTAAAGGGGTGAGTGATCTCCGCACCCCAACTACGGATGAGACATTTACTAACGCCGTTCACCCACGCCTCAGGCTAAAGCCGCGTTTCGAGGGCAGATCTTCGACGATATAACGACGTCTTTGGAGTCTAGCGAGACGGTACACCTTCTCGCGCAATGTTTTCGGAACTTGAAAGACGCCCCTGCGCTATCGGAGATTACCGTTCACGGGCGCAACCTGTACAGTCTTGTTCCCGCCGCTCTAGCAGCAAGTGAGTTTCCGCGCGAGATCGCAATCTTCAAAGTACTAGCGCAGCCTGTCGTCGAATCAGGCTATCGCAGTGTTACCAATTTTCCAGAGGAATGCACGCCATATACCAAAGGTCTAAGCATCAACGCGCCCGACTCGAAATTCGAGAGCTGGATGCCACTCGATAGGAAGCTGGCAAAGCAAAAAGAAAGACAGGTCGACGACCAGGGCTACCACTTCAAAGGATATCAGCCAAGCTATCGAGAGTTCTCCAAATTCCTTGCAGCGTACAACGACATCACCCATCTTGAAATCATTGGATGCGATAAAATGCCCATGTTAAGGCTCTGCGACGGATGCGACGCGGTGTTTAAGCATATTGCGACCGCGAACTTCCCTCACCTGACCTATTTCTCTATGAAAAAGGCCTACGTGAGTGGAAGCCGGCTCCGCCGCTTCGTCAAGCAGCACACCAAGACCCTGAAGGAAGTCCGCTTCTCCTCTGTTTCTCTAACAGATGGCTCATGGCAATCTCTAGCCCAGGGCTTGCTTAAACTACCGCAACTCGAGACGCTCTACTATGAATATCTCTACCAAAGACACGAGGTCATTAAGTCTAAGATTCCGTCTTTCTCCGATCAAAGCTGGTATACCGAGCTCGTATATTACGGAAAGGCGAATATCAAACTCTTTCTGCAAATGTTTCTGCAGCACTTCTGGACGGCGGACTTCGACCGCAAACCATATTCTCGTGGTTATACGACACAACCGTCGCGCAAGACTCGGGCAAGATACTACCAAGTGTACATGTATGACTTCCCTAACGTTGTGGCGAGTCTCGGATATATGGAAGCTGCATACGTCGAGATGCGATATGCACAGGAGGTCTTGGACGTTAGTTCTGATTGGAGTGATAGACAGACGTATAGAAAGTACTAGAGGATATATGCTTGCTGGACCTGGCTTCTTACAAGGTTAAAGCTTACCTAAGTAGCGACCATTCTGAGCGTCTTATATTGGTTTTCGCGTGTACATCCGTTACATTATAACAGCAATTGGCCTCTTGAGAGCGACCAAAACGAAGATAGTTCAGAGCCTAGTCCTGTACAGCATCGCTCAATCCAAATACTAGTCATCTTTGCGGAGTTACCACGTTCTGATTCCGCTCGTAAATATACCCCATCATGCCCCAACGTTGGCTTTCAATCCTCGTGTTTTATCTGTGTTTCCGCGAGCAGGAGGTTTTGTGCATGACAGTGCATCTCTACCAAGATTGATTGCCTCTCGGTCCAGTGCTGAGACAGATAGGGCGTGCGTACTCCCCTTACATAGCGGTATTGGACAATATCACAGCAGTCGATGCGATACGCGTTCTCTTGGAATGTGGTATACCAGATGTTTCTACGAATTTCATTTGCTACACTAGCCATAAATTTTGCAATTCGGATAATGCTAGGCGAAACCAACGCACCATAATATCGAGCTCGTGGGTAGATTGTGGGTTTTCCGCGGTTGGTATCCACATCCTAGTGCGGTAGCGACGATGATTCCACGACTGCTGGGTTCCAAATATTTTCTGATGTCTTCATAACTCAGTATTCAGCTTCAAGCGTCTCATCGACGCCTGCGATGGCCAGTTTTACATCGCACAATGCGACAATCGTGGAGCCTATGCAAGCCACTTCTCACCCTGCCAACCCGAGCAAACCTTCCTTCTTAGAATTGCCTGCCGAGATACGAAACGCCGTTTACGAGCTGCTTTTCAAGAATGATGGTCCCGTCTTCTTACATAACGCCGACGCCTTCCTTCCACGAGC